TTTTGGCCTCTTTGGGCACTAGACATATGTGCTGGCTAAACACTCATATACATAAAATAATAAAATTAAATTTAAAAAAGAAACATCTATAGGCTCAGAGCCAGGAGAACTGAGTGCCCAGTGAACTGGGGTGCCTGTACTATTTATTTGCTTGGACAGAGCTTTGTGAGCATCCACTGGATTGAGTAAGGTGAAGGTGTGAGAGATTGTGTGTTTTATTTTATTTTATTTTTTTTTAAGACAAGGTCTCATGTAGCCCAGGCTAGTCTTCAGCTTTCTATGCAATTAAGAACGATCTTGAACTCCTAGTCTTCTTGCCTCCATCTCCCTAATGCTGGGATTACAGGTGTGCACTACCATGCCTGGCTCATGAAAGACTGAATTTACTGACAACAGTGACACCCAGTATCAAATAGAATACTGATCTACAACCTGTAGCCCAGGAAGCCAAATAATTATTTGGAGCCACTAACCCAGTGGCTTGCTATGTTGGCTAGTCTTATGTCAACTCGACACACGAACTAGAGTTATTCTGAAAGCAGGGAACCTTAATTGAGAAAATGCATCCATGAGATATGGCTATAAGGCATTTTTTTTTTCTCCCTGAGACAGTGTTTCTCTGTGCAGCTTTGGAGCCTGTCCTGGATCTCGCTCTGTAGACCAGGCTGGCCTCGAACTCACAGAGATCTGCCTGGCTCTGCCTCCTGAGTGCTGGGATTAAAGGTGTGCGTCACAGCCCGGCAAGGCATTTTCTTAATCAGTGTTAATGGAGGAGGTCCCAGCCCATTGTGGGTGATGCCATCCCTCGACTGGTGGTCCTGGGTTCTGTGAGTAGGCTGAGAAAGTCATGATGAGCAAGCCAGTCAGCAGCATCCCTCCATGGCCTCTGCATCAACTCCTGCCTCTAGGTTCCTGCCCTGTTTGAGTTCCTGTTCTGGCTTCCTTCTGTGATACAACTACAATGCGGAAGTGTAAGCCCAATAAACCCTTTCCTCCTCAACTTGCTTTTTGGTCATGGCATTTTGTCAAGGCAACAGAAATCCGAGCTAAGACACTTGCTCACTTACGTCAGACATCATAGAAACTGTCGTCTGTAAAAAACAGACAAGCCAAACCATAACCCCTGGCTCTACAAGGCGAGTACTCAATAACCCACAGCTTCTCTAATTTTGGGGGTGCAGAGTGGATACTAAGTTAAGACAGAATCTCATTTAGCCCAGGCTGGCCTTAAACTCACTATGTAGCTAAGGCTGGTTTTGAACTCCTGGGTCTTCCTGCCTCCACCTCTCCAAGTTTTGGAATTACAGTCTTGAGCTATCACACCTGGGTGAGCTTCCCTGAGTCTTGTCTCCGTATCCAACTACGGACCATAAGGAGAAAGCCAAAGCTATCTGTACCCAACTCTAGCCCTCCGTCCCCAAGGATGCCTGCTTTTAGCAAGCCACTAACAGTTGCCCGAGCGGCTGCTCGGACCCAAACCCCCTGCTTTTGCTCCACTGTGACGCATTCCCGTCGTCCCCTGTCCACTCTGGAGCCTCTGCCATGTGCACATGACGGGGTTGGCTTCCTGCCCTACAGTGGGTGCCAAGGGCAGGGGGGGCCTCCCAGGGTCTCACCTGTGGGGAGGCGGCACACAATATTTATCTCTTAGATGTGTCTCACACTCCTCTCGCCTAGCAGGCCCAGGACACACTCGATCAAAAGAGCCGAGTGGCCAGAGAGCAAGGCGGGTGACGGGGATACAGGAGAGCCGTACCCAGACACTGAGATCACTTTCCACGGGCCCATCTGCCACTCACACCGATTCTACCTCGCCCCTTCACTCACTCAGGTCTCGCTGTTTTGCTTTGTTTCTTTTTTCTTTTTCTTTTTTCTTTTGGAGCTGAGGATCCAACCCAGGGCCTCATGCTTGCTAGGCAAGCGCTCTACCACTGAGCTAAATCCCCAACCCCTTGTTTTATTTCTTTTAAGACATGATATATCTCAGGCTGGCCTCCAACTGGCTAGGGAGCAGAAGATGACTCTGAACTTCTGGTCCTCTTGCCTCTACCCCTGGAGTGCTGGGATCACGGGTGTGTGTCATCACTGGTTTAGGCAGTGCTAGAGGGTGAACATAGGGCCTGGGACAGGCTAGACAAGCTACTGTAGACCATGCCCTGCCTTTTCATCTCATAAAGATGAGTGAGAGACATGGAGAGATAGAATCAAAGATGATCCAATCCTGGGAAGCCACGAGTCTGATGGAGAAAGTTCTCAGCCTCGAGAGCCTGTGAGGCGGGCGGGGGACACGTGGCCCAGCAGTTGCTCCGTCAAGAGCCCACAAGAAGACACAAAATGATTTTTTAAATGCTGACACCTCCTCCTCCACACTCATAAAGCTCAGGGTAAGCGTGTGCATATGTGCGTGTCTGTGTCTCTCTTCTGTTGAAATCACAACAAAGACACGGGCTCAGAACTTCCTAAGAGCTGAATGGGCCTTGGCTCCAGCACTCTCCCACTCAATCCTCTCACCTTCGGCTCCTGGCAACCACAGCCTACAATCCACTGTGTGAAATCCAATTAATTGAGCTGGCCTTCTCTTTGAAAGCCCAAGCCGAGGGACAGAGAGAGGAGTCAGGAGCTGGTGGGGGTAGAGAAAGAGAATTCAAACAGCATCCTTCAATAGGGTCTGAGTACTTCAATGGTACTGGAGTGAGTGGGTACGCTGGTGTTGGGGGAGCCCTGAGCAGCATTTCCCCCAAGCCGCTGGTGGGGGACTTCTGGAAGCTCTTCCTCCAGCCCTCAGTGCCCACACTGCTCTAGGGAAGTATCAGTTCTTCTGCCCAGCAGTCTAGCCTCCTGCATGGTTCCTTGCCGGTGCCCCAGCCCTCGGGGTGCAGGGTAAGGGGGAGCATCCTGCAAGCCCGGGCTCCTTCAAGGAGGCACCTCGTTGACTGGCCGCCATGGTTTCCCCGCCTCCAGACTCAGGTCGGGAAGACTGAGCATAAGAAAGTACACAGGACCTCTCCTCTGCCCAAGGAAACCCCAACCCAGCTGCTCTTCCTGGGACCCTGATGGTCCCACCACCTCTCTCTCTAGAAAACAAACACGTGGGCCGGAGGATGTGGCTCCCCTGGTAGAGTGGCTTACCCAGCATGAGGAAGCCCTTGGGTTTGACCCCCAGCACCAGAGAAGATGGACATATAATCCCAACACTTAGAAGATGGAGGCAGAAGGATCATAAGGTTAAAGGTCACCTCCAACTGAATAGAGTTGGGTCAGCCTGGGCTACATGAGACCTTGTCAAAACACTACAAGACCTTTGAGCTAATACCCTGTGAGGTGGCCCACTCTGTGCGGGGGTCAAGCTCTGGAGATTTCTGCTCTGGGTCCTACTGAACCAAGTCCTTCCTCCTTGATCCTCCATCTCCTTCCATGAAGGAGGAGACTAGAGGCCCATGCCAATATTTTATAAGCTAAGTCTACATTGCAAATGCATCAGACTGGCTTTCACGTTACCTAAAACCTGGAGAAATTCTCACACGCTGCCTACTTCCAGCTTCTGTTAAATGATCATCCGGAGCCAGCCATGGTAGTGCATGACTTCAGTCCTAGCGCTTGGGAGGCAGACCCACGAGCATCCCAAGTTCAAGGTTCCATAGTGAGTCTGGGGTCAGCCTTGACACCCTGTCTCAAGAAAACCAAACCGGGGACTGGAGGGATGGCTCAGCGGTTCAGAGGACTGACTGCTCTTCCGGGGGACCCAGGTTCGATTCCTAGCACCCACATGGTCAAGGACAGGAACTCAAACAGGGCAGGATCCTGGAGGCAGGAGCTGATGCAGAGACCATGGAGGGGATCTACTTACTGGCTTGCTTCCCACGGCTTGCTCAGATCACCTTCTTATAGAACCCAGGACCAGCAGCCCGGGGATGGCACCACCCACCATGGGCTGGGCCCTCCCCCATGAATCACTAATTGAGAAAATGTCTTACAGCTGATCTCAAGGAGGCTTTTCCTCAGCTGAGGTTCCTTTGATGACTCTAGCTTGTGTCAAGTTGACACACAAAACCAGTCAGTACATCTGACCAGCCGAAATCAGGGATCTGAGATACACTTGCTTGTTCTTCATACAGGACCAGTATTTTGTGTCTGTTTCTCTAAACAGAATCACAGACCCTTTTCATATCCCTGGCAGCCAGAGAGCCCTAGGAAGCAGGATCCACCTTATCCAGGCACCCTGCGCCATCTGTCGCTCTCCCGCCTACCATCCGGTCCTGCTCCACGAGGCAGAAAGCTGGAGTGAGCACCACCACACATCCTGCTGAGCTACCCAGAGACACTGCTTCAAAAGATCCAAAATGCCCACCCGCTGGCCTCCTGCCTAGCACCGTCCAAGGACCATATCCACTCACTCGGTGTGTGCCAGAGATAAGTCAGCATTGCTGGCACCTGTCACAGCTGCCCTGAGAAAGCAACATGAGAGGAAGGAAGGAAGGAAGGAAGGAAGGAAGGAAGGAAGGAAGGAAGGAAGGAAGGAAGGAAGGAAGGAAGGAAGGAAGGAAGAAAGAAAGAGACAACGCTGGGGACGAGAAGGGAATCAGTCATTCACGTCCCCTTGGCTCGCTGGTCTGCTCAGAATGGAAGAGTCAAGCCAGGACTTGTCTTCAGTCGGTCTTTTTTTGAGACACAGTTTCCCTGTGGAACAGTCCTGGCTGTCCAGAAACTCACTCTGTAGACCAGGCTGGTCTCGAACTCACAAAGGTCCGCCTGCCTCTCTACCTCCTGGGATTAAAGGCATGTGCCACCACACCCGGCTCTGTCAATCTTATTTTCAGTCAGCTGGAAACAGAATTTGGCCCAGAGACTTCTAGGTCTTCAAAGCCTATACCTCTGGAAATGATTTTATGAGTCTGGTTGATCCAGGACTAGCTCTGGGGACATTCTCCAGAGGGGGTTGGGACCCTGAAGGTCTGGAGCTGGTCACACACTCCTTGTCTGAGCTCTAACCCCTGGCCTACCTCGAAGCTGACTGAAGGTGGTCATGAACTTGCTGGTGAGGGACTTGAGTTCATTGTTAGCCAGTGTGATGAGGTGGATCTGGTCGGAGACGTTCCTCAGGACCTTGTAGATGCAGATGGGGAAAGAAACAAGCTTGCAGTCGGCCAAGTCTGCAGCAAAAAAGACAAGGACAGATCAGAGCCATGAATCACAGCTTCCCAGGAGCCAGCCCCAGACCCACACGGACCAACCCCCCCCCCAGTGTCTGTGCCCTCTGGCCTGTCCCATTACGCCTCACTTGAAGGACATTTCCTTCACACTCAGAATCTTGGGTTTTGTCTTCATCTCTATTACCACAGCCGGAATCCAAGAGGCAAGACCTTGAAGTCACAATAATAATGTCATTCCGGGCAGCATGGTTCAGGCCCTTCCCTTACAGAACCAATTCCTTCGGAATCAAAGATCTGACAATGAGGCAGCCTCTCGGAGAGCACTTCACGATCGCTTGCTTTGGACACACAATGCTCAGACCTCGAGGTTTGCCCACCTTTCCCGGGTCTGTATCAAAGAAGCAGAGAAGCCACAGGCTCCCACTTCCCGGGGGG